ACAGAACACCGAGTTTAACAATTAAAAATATATAATTTCAATACAAAATACATTAATAACTTAAAGACTGTTGATTTGAAAGCTTTCGAAGCACAGCTGTGAACGAGGACCTGATTGCAGCATCAGTCGAGCGTGGTGCGGTTGTTGGAATCGGGGACCAACGCTTCGCAATCGTCGCCGCCGCTGCCGCTGGCGTTGCCACTGCCGCCGCCGGCACAGACGACGCACGCCTTTGGCACCGTCTGCTCTATGTACATGTTAATCTTCTCGAGCACCTCGGGGCAGACGGCGAGCATCAGCTGCTCGTAGCGGGCGGGGTCCAGCTGGGATTGCAAATGTTGCAGCTGCCATTTGAGGTATTCGGTTAGGGGTATCTTGTAAACGGGATCCTTGAGCACCAGCTGGCGATGCCTGTCGTCGTGGTAGGTCTTTGAATGGAAGTCATCGTACAGCTGCGGCTGGAACTCATCCAGCTCGTGCTCGTCGTGTATGACCAGCGAATCGTAGAATCTCGGCGTTGCCTTGTCGGCGGCCTCATCTGCGGCCGCATATTGCTTGTCCATCACCTCGCCGAGCGTTTCCTCCACCAGCTGCAGGATGTGCGGCAGCCGCGCCAGCAGCAGCTCGTTGTTTCCGAAAATCGAAGCGAACGCCAGGCAGAAGAGCTTCCTCTTCTCGGCATGCGTGTCGGCCACGAGCGGAAACATCTCTATCCACACATCCAGGATGCGCGCCAGGGCATCCGTCTGCGGCAGCTCCTGCACCACAGACATGAACACCGCCTGGTCGATGAGCAGGGTGCGCGCCAGCAGAGTCAAGTACCAGCTCATGGTCATCGGGTATTCCTGCTTGAGGCACACCTGCTGGAAGATAAAGGGCAGAGCGGGTCGCACCAGCCGCAGGCCCATCGCGGCATCCGTCTTCAGGCAAGTCTCAAAGATGCGCAACATGGCGATGATGCCCTCCGTGCGTATATCCTCAAAGGAGCGCACGCAATACGCCACAAAGCCCTCGCCGTAGCGACTCAGATAAGCCTGCAAAGGAAGCGCATATTAATTGCGAGACGTTATAGACACTCTTATAGACTATATATTGATTTTACATGCGCATCGAGCAGTATGTAGGCGTGGATCAGCTGCAGCACGGTGCGCAGATTCTCCGAGGACATCTCAATGATGGGCAACAGATGATCGCACAGCCTCAGCAGCTCAGGCGTCAGCGCAGTCGAGTTGCCAATCACCGCCAGCCACAGCATGATGCCATCCTCTATCAGATAGACGTGCGAACGTTGCTAATCGGGAGAGCGAGAGAAAATATGGCCAAGGATTAGTCATGCGAATTAAATTGACCCTAAAATAAGTAACACAAAAACTTGTTTAATAACCAAAAAAAAAAATAAAAAAATAAATAATAATAATAATAATAAATAAATAAGATTAAATAAAAATAAACTTAATGCATGGCAAAATTTTTTTAAGATTATTTTTCAATAAGAATACTAATTCTATCAGATCAAAGATGAGGATCATTGATTTATTAATTTTTGTTTGTATATATCAACAAACAATCTTTCTGATAGTTTTAGAAAAATTGTTTAAAGATATACAAAAAAAATTAATAATAAAAAATAAAGTACTTAAAATAATAATTAATAATTTAAATAAATAGTTTCAATAGAAATAAATAAAATAGGCTAGTCAATTTATTACATAACTATTAAACTAAAATAAAATAAATAAATTATTTTTAAATGCCTGTTTAAAGCTTCGATTCTGATTCGATCAATTAAATAAATAATAAAGGGTAGGATTATTTATTGATGTTGTATATGTGTATATATCTGAAAACTTGTTTAATAAAACATTCATGGTTTTCTAAGAAACAAAAGATTATAGCAAAACATGTATGACAGCTATTGCTTGCTTAATTTAAGAGAAAATTGCGGATAAATCGAAATTTTCGAGTTGAAGAATCGATTTGTTTCGGTCAGTAGATTAAAATTGGACGGTTCCGGACTAAATTTCAATAGGAAAATTTATATATTACAAAAAGTAAAATTTAAAAGCAAAAATAAACAAATTAAAAAATGTTCAATGAATTCTTTTATAATTAGTAAGTAATTCTTAGTCAATCACACTAACTCTTAGTTCAGCACAGGGATACGGACCTGTTTTGGGAGTTTAAGCGAAAATATTTACCTGCAAGTCGGTGCTCAGCTCGATGACGCTGTAGAGGAAGGGCTTCATGCTTTCTGGGACGTCGCGTATGGTTCGCACGAGCTGTTCCAAGGTGCCGATGATGGCGCACCGGAGCATATTGTACTCGTGCTCCTCGCTCTCGCGCCAGAGCAGCGGCAAGTAGGCAATGAATTGCAGGGCCTGCGGCTCGATGAAGTCGCTCATCTTCTCAACGAGTAGGGTCATCGTGCCCAGGACGACGATTTTAGTGTCGCAGGCGCCCGCCTCGCGCAGCAGAAGGAACAGCGCCTCGAACAAGGCCGAGAAGTACGGATGAAACGCTTCGGGCATAAATTCAAAGTCGTCAATCAAAAGATTCAGGGTGCGGGCGGCGGCCAGGCGTATGGGCATGTCCTCCTCCGGGCGCAGCAGATGCAGGCACGCCTCGTAGGCCAGCGGGCGCAGCTCGCGGGACAGCTGGACGCCCACCCAATTGCCCACCAGCCAAATGATGCGGCGGCGCAAGATGCGGAAATTCGAGGCCTCTATGCGCAGCTCGGCGAGCAGCTGCGAGGTCAGCCACGAGCCAAAGTCCAGTTTATTGAAGAAGTGAAACGAAGCCTGGCCAACCGCATTGTAGATCGCGTCCTTCAGCAGGATGGCCTTCAGCTCGGAGTCCTGCGTCAGCTGCAGCTGCTGGGCGCGGCGCACGAACTTGAGGACCTCATTAATCATGACATTCGAGTGTTGGGTGAAGCAGGTGAAGTACAGGGACTCGACGCAGGGACGCAGCTCGTATTTCCAGGCGTCGCCGCCGCCGTCATCCTGGCCATAGCTCTCTGGGTCCTGCTGCCACTCGGCCAGCTCGTCGGGCGTCAGCAGGAAGTAGTGCGTGACGATTTTCTCGCACAAGTACGTGACGCGCTCCACGCTGAAGAATTTGCTCTGTGTCTGGGATGCGGTCGCCAGCAGCTCGTCCTCCAGGGTGTTCGCCGTCTGGTCCTGGACAATGCTATAGGTGCCGCTCATCATGATGCCCTTCAGCAGATTGATGGCCTGAATGACGAACTGGCTGAAGTTGATCCGTTCGCCCGCGTCGAAGATCAGGGCGGTGCCCTCGTGGAATACATAATGGAAGCTGAACTCCAGTGCTACGGGCACGAACCGAGCAAAGGACAACGAGTGCCGATCCATGAACTCATACAGGGTCTTCATCATCTTCAGGATGAAACGCTCCAAGTCATTGATCAGCTGTTCGTTTCCCGACCCGCGCAATCGTAGCTCGTAGCGCAGCTCCAGGCACTGGCGCAGTCGCTCGAACAGCTGCTCAACGAAGTTCATGTGGTCGCTGGACTTATAGGGCTTGCTGCCGCAGCCGTAGACGAGCAGCTTTCTCAGTGTTCGCATCGCTATGTGGGCACGCTGCAGGCAACTGTGTGCCGCCGGATCTGTCTTCTGCAGCTGCAGGAAGCGCGTCGTCAACGTCGCCCAAATGTTCCAGGCCATGTAGCTGAAGAGTTGCGCCGACAGCTCCTCGAAGGCACGCTTTTCGGGCATGAGGCGACGCGATGCCAGCGCCTTGATCACATAATGGAGAACGAGCAGTGTCCGCTGCTGTTGCACGGGCGACTCGCTGCACGCCTGCAGCTGCTTCATCAGCGTGGGCAGAAGCTCGGGCCAGCAGTCCATGCGCGCGATTTTGCTGAGCAGAACCGCCACCTGCAGCGCCACTTGGGGCACATCCTCAGCGTCGTAGTGCTGCAGCAGGATCTCGCGTATTTGCTGCTTCTGCTCCGGGGCCAGCTCCTGGCGAGAATTGTGACGCCAATAGCGTTCTATGCCATTTTTCAGATACACGGCCGCCATCCAACGAATTTTCACTGAGTCACTAAGCGTTGCAGCTGCAGCCGCTGCAGAGGTGGCAGCAGCCGCTGCGTCGCTGTCATCTTGCAGCTTCATGCTGAGGCGTGCCAGTATGGGAAAGAAGCCCGGCTGCTGCTCCCATTCGCTAAGCTGCGCCTCAGCCTTTTGCACAATTTCATGATTGGGATTGGCAGCACCCTGTAAGGCGGCTGCAACAAACTGCTCCGCAGTGGCCATGGCTTACACGCAAACACACACACGCACACCGAGGGAACAGTGGACAGTGGACAGACGAGTTGAGAGCCACCAAAATCGGTGTACGAACTTGTCTGATACTGGTTTGCAGCAAACTTCGTGAAAATTATTGACGAAAAATTACATCGCCATTCCGGCTGAAGCGCTATTCAATTAGTGATGTTCAATCAAACATATCGATTGTCTACGATGATTTCTGCGTGAGAGTGAGCAATGTAATGGGTGTGTGAGCAGCGTACTAGACTTGAAAACAAATGCACTGAACATGAAAATTATATATGTTAATTCTTATCTTAATCATTTAAAAGTTTTTCATAGCCGTAATTGACTATATATAAGATAAGTTAGCTATGATAAAATCTAGATATTACATCGTATCATGCATATAGACTATATTTTGATCTACCGTAGTAATAAAATAAGCTGAAACACTTATTCAAGTGATTCATGTAGTAACTATATATACAGTAAAAAATACATAACTTTGGTTTACGTCCACAAATACACATGTCATACATTTTTCAGCAATCAACATACATATGACAACCGTTTTGAGAGCTTAGCGCCTTAACAGCATACTCTATACGATATCTTACAGCATGAATTGTAACTATCGCCAGCTTGCTGATTTCGTTGGCAACGCAGCGAACACAACAGCTGACAGTTCGGTGGTAACGCGATATCGATAGTTTATATATTGGCAACGTAAACAGAATTTGAGATAAGAGAATCATATGCAGAAGAAAAATTTAGTCATTTGCAGCTCAATTGCTTAACCTAAAACATGCTGAAAGCAATTATATTGATTGGCGGCCCACAAAAGGGCACCCGTTTCCGCCCACTGTCGCTGGACACCCCAAAGCCGCTTTTCCCAGTAGCCGGGCGCCCTCTGATTGCTCATCACATCGAAGCCTGTGTTCAAGTAAAGGAACTGCGCGAGATACTCATCATTGGCTTCTACCCGCAGACGCAGATGGAAGGGTTTGTCAGCGACATGCAAGCGCTCTACAGCAGCAGCAATATAAACATCAGGTGAGCCATATCTTAATATACCCTGTGGTCCTTAGCAGTGTAGGGTATATTGATTTTGAAGAGGAGTATGCTGTATTACTCGTTAGATTCGATAATATCGATTGTAATTAGATTACGCTCTTATTTTGTTTATATCCACAGTTTTCTTGACTAACATTATCCACATTTATGATATTGCCTTTGATTCATAGAAATTCAACCATCCCATAAAAATGGTTAACGTAGGGTGTTTAATGCATTAGATAAGCATTTGATTGATAGTACACAAGCTATTTCCATCGAAATTCTTGAAAACCGAAGCAATCATAATCTGATATCAAGTACCCATATATAGGGTATCTACCCTGCTCTTAACATGCTATAAAAGCTGACGTGTTCTGCCTTTGTCTTCTTTTAGGTACCTACAGGAGTTTACCTCGTTGGGAACGGCTGGCGGCATGTACCACTTCCGCGATCAGATACGGGCTGGCAATCCGCGCGCGTTCTTCGTGCTCAATGGCGACGTCTGTGCGGACTTTCCGCTGCAGGAGCTGTACAGCTTCCATATGGAGAGGCCGGCGAGCGCCTTGGTGACGATCATGAGCACGGAGGCGACGCGCCAGCAATCGCTCCACTACGGCTGCCTCGTCTTCGATCGTGCAAGTGGCGCTGTGTCGCATTATGTGGAGAAGCCCAGCTCCTATGTCTCCACGTACATCAATTGCGGCGTCTATGTCTGCTCCATGGACATCTTTACGAAGCTCGCGCAGATCTTCCATGCGAAGTGCGAGGAGTACAGCTGCATCAGCTACAGCAACGGCAATGGCAACGGCAACGGCAAGGATCAGGGTCACATTAAGTGGGAGCAAGAGGTGCTCACTCCTCTAGCTGGCACTGACATGCTCTTCGCCATGCCGGTGCCCAATTGGTGGTCTCAGATGAAGACCGCTGGATCGGCCATCTATGCCAATCGGCACTACCTCGATCTCTACAAGCGCACCCATCCCGAACGTCTCGCCAATGTGGGCAACAAGCGGGGCGAGGGCGATGGCAACCTGATTTGTACCGTCTATCCGGATGTCTATGTCCACCCGAGTGCTACGGTCCACCACTCGGCTGTGGTGAGTATGCTCTAAATATGTAGGAGGAATATAGATATGAAAACGATACCCTGTGCAGGCATAACAGTGAATTGGAATTCATTATATATTCTATATCAGATATCATCTATATTGCATACCTACATGAATCAGTTCCTATTGTCGATGTTGAATTCCAAATGTATATGGATATATGTAGATACTCTGTATGCATTGAAAACTGATACATATACATATAAGGGATGTGGGATCCATTGTTTAACTTAATCGATAACTATTGCTATTTAAATGCGATTAGAATCAGGTTGGTTTATAGAAGACTCTTTATCGTTGTTTTCTTAGTTTTCCTATGCACACTTCAATCTATAATATTATAAGTTTCGAATGATATTTCTAATATCAATCAAGTTTACTTTTTATATAATTTGAACTTAACACAAATTATTTTAATGACAGTCGCAAATATATCCTTGATTATTGGGCTTACACAAAGATAAATGCCAAGATTTGAATGTCTATTTCGAATGGCTTCAGCTCTCGTAATTGTTGAAGCTCTAATTCTCTAATTTCTCTTAGCTCGGGCCCAACGTGGCCATAGGTCCTGGAGTTACGATTGGGCCTGGCGTTCGCATACGCGAATCCATTGTGCTGGAGCAAGCCCAGATCAAGGATCACACGCTCATCCTTCATTCGATTGTGGGTCGTGGCTGCACCATTGGCGCCTGGACTCGAGTCGAGGGCACGCCCAGCGATCCGGATCCAAATAAGCCATTTGCCAAAATGGAGAATCCACCGTTGTTCAACAATGAGGGCAAACTGAACCCATCGATAACTATATTGGGTTTGTTTTTCGAGCTTAAAGATATGTTCAGATACAGAAGGTACTTACAAATGTTTCTCTGCTCCACAGGCTGCTTTGTGCAAATACCCGCCGAGAAGATACTGCTGAACAGCATTGTCCTGCCGCACAAGGAGCTCAGTCGAAGCTTTAAGAACGAAATTATTTTGTGAAAATTTGGTTGGATGACTTTACTTATTTATTTATATATGCAATACACATTATATGTTTTATTGTATGCTAATCTATCTTGGTGTTGTGCAATAATCCTTAAAAGGAAACTTCGCATTTGCCATTTCAATAATTGTTTTATGTTTCGCAACAATTTTACGGTATTGGAGCTTGTCTTAGTGCTGCATAATAATTTAATAAAATACTTTTAAACTCTACAAACTTTAAAGAACTTTATTTTATTATTTTTATTTATAGTTAGAGATTTTTAATTCAATTAAAGTAAGAAGGCTCCAGTCGAGACTGCTCGACTAGGGGATACCCTGAACCCTCCAATCTGATATTGTAATCATTCTGTACTTCTTTTATGCACATATACATACATACACATGCACGTATAACAACGAGCTCTGCTAACTTCGCAGTAAGCAGCGACTGCGCTTGGCCTGCGCTGCAGTGTGGGCAATATTATGACAATTTATTTGTTGAATGTCTTAATTCTTGACGTACAATCTCAATGAAACTTTCAGAACCTAATCATAATGTTCAAATGTATGTACACAAAGCACAAGTATTTAAAATGCGTTTTTTACAAATTGAGGGTGAAGGGGGCGTGGTATCCAAAATCTGTAAATTACAAAAGTTTTGTAATCATCATATGTATATACACAGTAAATCTGAAGCTTCTAGGTCCAATAGAGATCAAATAAGACTGAAAAAACAAAATCAATTTTTCGATTATTCTCGATAAAAAAGTTATGGGATGATTTATCGAAAAAATAAAGCCAACTCGTACTGCGTATTGTATACACGAGTATGCATGCGAAATTTCAGCTCTCTAGCTTTTGTATCTTCTGAGATCGACGCACTCATACAGACG